ATACCTTTTTTGGGGGTACAAATAGAGCTTTCAATCTATTTAATCACCACTGGGGTTTTTATTTTTTACTATATAACAAAATTAAATGTAATTAAACATTTATCACCCCAATTTTTTTATAAAACATAAAAGACAGGGTCATGCATGTCGGGCAGATAGACACCAAACATGTCAAGCCTTAAAATTGTGTGCACCCACAAAATCGCAAAAAATTACCACACCGAAAATTGGCCATAGGCAACGCTTTTACTGCCCTGGCTGTTTACATTTCTGACAGTTTACCCACTCGTGTGCGCACTGAGCGCCGCGCACAAGTGGGAGAAGGGGAAGGACATCTTAAGACGCCCTTCCGCTCCTACAAGGCTCCCGTCCGGCCCTTTACCAGGGGTGGTTAATATGAGGTATAGAAATGCAGCCTGCAATGAAATCAAACATAGGGCAATGCAGGAAATGACAATATAATACAGAAAAGTAATTTTCCCTTTTAGAAAAAGGGGAAAATCGCATGGAAAATAAATTAATATAAATACATGTTTGTTTATTCACAGCTTGTATATGTCTTAAGGTAGAGCTCCAGCCAAACCTTAAATTCTTTAGTAGAATGGGTTAGGGTTAACACCTGTCACCAGTGGGGTTACTCCACCTTGTCCCAGTGATGATGGTCTCTGAGAAGAGTGATCTCCCTAATTCCGAATGCATGCTGCAAGGGTTATAATCTTGGTTAAGTTTTTATTGCTGCCCTGTTGAGGAGATTGGCCCTTCCTTTTCTGTCCCAGTGACAATAGTCACTGAGGGGGTGTTTTGCTCTGGACTACAAATCCCAAGGAAGAGCCCACATATAAACTTGGCAAAACTTTAATTTCTGTTTTGTTGTCTGTTCTTGCAGTAAAGCTCAAAAAACTGACCCAGTAGCATTTTAAATATTTTGCGAAAATGCTGCATATACAAACTTAGTTACTGGCAAACAAACATAAACAAAACATACATACAGGCTGCTACAAACAATCACTTGCACCCACTACACTATCGAGTACATGTAATGGTTTCTAAGAGAGGAAACACTAAAATAGTACTTAGCTTAGAGGCTGCATACTCTGTAAATTCCGTAAAGAAGAGGACTTCTTGGCAATTAAGTGTTCGCAGGAAAATGGCTTCTCGTTGCAGTCTCTGCTGTCTAAGTCCTTTGTTTTAGAATTCCATGATGAGTCCTCTCTTGGTCAGAGTGATGTCCTCTCTTGCTCAAAGTTCCATTCAGAAGTCCTTCCTCACCTTTTGGCTGCTGGCTTTTATTCAGAGAAAATTGCATCCGATCTGTAGGTTGGGCCCCTTAAGAATTGTATGAGAGTAAAATATGATGTATTTCACTTTTCCACCTCCTAGGTGGCAGCGTTGTACCATGAATTGCCATCAGTAATAATAAGCCTTGACCAGTCTAGGTGCGATTGTTTACACAAGGTTTCCCCATAACGCCATCCCATTGTGATACGAATAATGGGGAAACGATACAAGGCAGTCATGCCATTGTCAAAAACCAGTTTAGTGTTTGTTTAGCAGGCACCCTCCATTGTGAGAAACCAGCTCTCTGTCAACAGCCAAGCAGAGCCTTTGTCTATTTTGCAAGTCCTGTGGGTGTCTGAAATACCCATTGGCACTCTCAAATATATATGTATATAGATATATATAGATCTATATCTATATATGTATATAGATATAGATCTATATACATAAATACATATACTTATACATGCGCAACACAGATGGGAAGAGAGGGCACATATACCCCAATTCAGGATGCAGGATGCCATTATCTATACAGTTGCTGGTTTTTTCAGCTCTTGATTCTAGTTATACTTGTTAGCTGTAGATTTAAAAATTCTAAACCCCTTGTACCCCAATCTGCAGCCTTTTGGTACTTATTTTGCTGTCCTTGGGGCCCAGCAGTTTACGAAACAGTGCATGAACAGGAACAGCATGAAGAGAAGCATTCATTAGATTTGTGATGTTGGGAAGACCTGGGAACAACTCTCTTTACTCTGCTCTTGGTTCTGCACTAATGGGCGGGTTAGAAAAATGCACGGTGACAGTTATAGATGTAATGGCAGCGAGTGGCCCACAATGTTTTCACAGCAGAGGGGCAGTCGCTCAGCACAGCGCCTGTTCCTGAACCCAGAAAATCTCCGTTAAGCACTGTAGTATCTGCTTCTAATATATTGTTTTACAGGATCCCCATGGCCCTGCCAGGGGTTTATATATACTGTACATACTTACGTTGTGCCAAGCTGGACCAATGTAAGTACTTATTTATAAAAGTCTATAGCTGGAGTTCAGCGTTACAATAGTTTGACATGTGTATGACTCTAAGGCCGCATTCACACTAAGCGACACTTAACTTGAGCTGATCCGCGCGGCCGGGATAGCGCAACTGTTTCAGCGACGATCGCGCGACCATCTTCGTCGGGCTGCATGCAAAATAGAAAAATCGGGCGACATCCACGGGAAAAAGGGTCCTGCATAAGCAACGCGCGACATGGAGCTGTTAAATAGAACAGCTCTATTGAAAATCATTGGAGGGCGACTTATCATGATATCGCGCGGCAAATATGCGCGATATCGCGGCGGAAATCGTGCGATTAAGCGCCCAGTGTGAATAGGCACTTAGAGGCAAGAAGCCGCTTCAAACCAGAAAGTAATGTTGGTTGTTTTTCTAGATGTGCATTTGTATTATGTTAGGCAATCACATTAGATGCAGATACAGGGGTGTGGAATTCCTATCGCCCGGGACATGCAGTTTCGGGTTCCTTGCGAGTAGTTCTTTGTACATTTAGCCCTGCTCTGGACAAGCAGAGCTAAATATACAGTGTGGAGCTGCTGCTCGTTTTCATACAAGTGATCTGATCAGGAACTGTTCTGTGTTGGAGGGCAGGTTCCATAAAGGGAACCTGTCACCTCCAAACTAGCTTTTAAGCCCCTATGTGATAAGAATAAAATTAAGTGAGGAAAAAAAGTAAATTAAAAAAAAATAAATTAAAGTTATAAAAAAGTACAAAATAATAAAATATACTGTATAAAAAAAATAAAAGTGATCAAATAAAATAAAACCAACCCCGCCGTCTGCATGCAAATAAATGCACACGTAGGACATTGTGTGTATGCGCGTTGAGTGCTGCTGCCATTCCACTGTGTGCCATATTGTGGTAGCCAGGCAGCAGAACCCTCCTACACACACAATGTGCATTAAAGGGTAGGTTTACTTTCCCAGGTAATATGGTAAAATGGAATTACCCAATCAAATCTGGCCCGGTCTCTCCCAAACTCCCCCCCCTCCCCCGGCTATACTTGCCTTTAGGGAAACAGTCCTTACCCTCGGCCAGTGCAGGTGTACTATCTGTACCCGTACTGCTGTCCAGCGCAGTCCTGCCCTATTCATTTTGAATTTCGCTCGCAAATTGCAAGCACTCATTGGTTAGCGTGGTCAGGAGGCCGGGCTGACTAATGAGAAGCGATATTTAGCACAGTCAAATACAGTTTTGATTAGGAATGTACCAATAGAGAGTATTTGGGCGAGTACAGGTACTCGCCCAAATGCTCAGATTCCTTCCCCAAGATCGGAACTTCCGGTCAGAGGAAGATTTCCACTGACCGGCAGTACAGTAGGGGAACATGGAGCCACCGACTAATGACCCGCCTCCCGGTTTCCTGATTGGCCAGGAAGCCAGCTCCTTGCTGATTGGCTGGGAAGCCACTTTCCTGGCCAATCACAATCAAGCCACCCAAACAGCATGGAGTCATCTTCCCTCAAAATCAGGAAGCCGGGTCATTACCCGCTGCCCGGCTTCCTGATTGCCTGGGAAGCCTGCTCCATGCCAACGGAAGCACAGATACTCGGTATATCGGTGCTTCTGCGAGTACAGAAAGCAAAATATTGGTACTCGATACCCAAAAACCGGTATTGGTGCATGCCTAGTTTTTAATAAAACAATTTTTTTTGTATTGGGACAAGTAGATTGTCATTAGGGACAAGTATATCCGGCCCCCACTTTAGCCCTTGGACAAGTAGTTTTTTTTTTAAATTTCCACACCCCTGAGATAGTGTTTATCAGATTTTATGTAGAACATAATGCTGACGGAAAAATCTGTTCAAACGTTTGCACTACAGGCATCTGTCCTGGCATTCATTTTTTTATTTTTTTTAAAGATGCTTTTATTATTGGTGTGTTACCTGCAGAAGGACCAGTGCAAAGTCTTCAAATTTTGTGATATTTTCTTGGACTTTCTAGATAATCGTGTAAACCAGACAGAACGGTTTGAGGGGACCTTTCACTGTGCCAGCATGAGCACAGAAACACTGTTGTCTATAAAACCGTTGAAGTAATTTCTTAGGAATAAATCTTCAGTTATACCCACAATACAGCTTCAAATCACAAATTTTTGGTAATGGAAAAACAAAGCGAAAAACAGGCGGATTTCCCTCGTGTGATATTGTACACTAAAGGAACTTTTATTGTATAAAAACATCCATACAGCAGCTGCTCAGACTTGCAGGCTGTTTTGGCTAAACGTGTTTTTGACAACCCCCCCCCCTTCAGATCCAAACATAGATCACTATTAACCCAGTACTTATATACCATTCTTATTGTTTTAATCAGATTCATATATTAACTTTGTTGTGATACTTGTTAGATCCAGTCATTGCATGTCTCCCCTCTGTGATGAGAAACCAGGATGGCTGAGCACACGCTGCCAGCTGAGATCTTCCGCGTATTGGACCGGCCCTTCTTGCACAGACATTCCTCATTGGACAAAGCACTATGCACTTGATTTTAAGTATTATGTGAGTGTATGGATGTTTTTATACAATAATTATACAATATCACACGAGGCGCCTCTTCACATTCTATATAGTAGAGCTGGTGTCTGGAGTATATAACGTAGGTAGAACAGTGGCATTTGGCACTCCTTTTACTTGCAACTTACAGATTTTTTTTTTCTTGCCAATTCAGGTGAACGGTATTAAGCTAGAAAATCTTTTGCACAAAAATGCAGTGGAACTCTTCAGGAATGCTGGTGAACATGTGGTATTAAAGGTTCAGCACCAGGTACGTTAAACTGGGTCTCCAAGCTGTTTTTCAAAAACAGATTTGTAAAATCTTTTGTTAAATCATAAGAAAATGAGCTGTGTATCATACCAGTTTAAACAATATATACTGTATAGTGTGTGTATATTTATTTTATAGTTTGGGTCGCCATTTTGAGAGCAATATACTACTTTCTGCAGTACAATACTGTCCAAATATTGTTGAAGAGGGTGTAGTAACAGTCTGTTCCAACACTGCTTTTATAGAGACAGAGGGCTTGTGAGTGATGCACAAAAGTTGGGACATATGTAGGAATGTTAGCTCATTTCTTCCATGAAAAATACCTTCTTGTATAACTCTGAAATGTATATTATTTTTCATTTTTCGTTAACATAAAATCTGTGGCAAGAGAGAGAGATCCTGTTTTACTACTTGATCAGTTGATGACTCTAAACAGCAGGCGTGTTTTATAGGTGACGAAACAGCATAGATATGAGTATTTCACCAGCAGGGCTACTGTACATCAGATGCAGTCCCTGCCTGGGAGTTTTTGGACTGGCTCCTTCAGCAAAAGTTAATTGAAACATGTACTCTTGAAAAAAAAATTTTTAAATAAAAATTTAAAGGCATTTAACTTTTATCTGCTAAAGTCCATTTTGGGTTGATCTACCTCATAAGGAATACACTTTTTTTGGTGTTTGGAAATGCAGATAAATCTAACCACGGGTTCTAGGAAGGCTTTAGAATGTGGATTTCATCCATGTGACTCTGAGAGTGCCGTTTTATCTCTTTTTTTAAATCAATAATTGTGTGTTCACCAGTGAGCTGAGAATAAAATTACGTAATTGTTGGTTTTTGTCAGTCTATGCCAGAAAATACATCATGAATGCCAGCTGTAGCCATATAAACTGTTCTCTATATTTAGAATGGGAAGCAGCATGTGTCCTACCTAGCTTCATCACTCACGGCTTAATATGTTCTGGAAAGCATCAGGTTTAATTTCTTACCTTTGTCACTAATTTTTTTTCTTGAGCTTGTACATTTATACCGTCCTCTATGAATTTGAGCAGGAAGTCAGTTTTACTCCAGAGCCTCTGTCTGCTCTGTGTAACTCCAGGGAAGAATGGCTTTTAGAACTCCATGGTTATCTAACTAGAATTATTACACAGAAGACAATATATAGCAGCGGAACTGTTACATAGTATTTGGGGTTGAATAAAGACATACGTCCATCAAGTCCAACCCATATAGGTCCACACATCATCTCATTCTTAGGAATACTTGTATCCCTGAATATTATGGTCCCTCAAGAAATCGTCCAAAAGTTTCTTGAACAATTCTACACTCTTAGCTGAAATCACTGCCGGTGGCAGTGAGTTCCAGACCCTAACCGCTCTTACTGTAAAGAACCCCCTTCGCCCCTTGTGCTGGAATTTTTTCTCCACCAACTTTAGGTGGTGGCCTCTAGTCTTTGTAATGGAGTTAATCTTAAAGAGTTTGTTGCCAATGTTGCTGTCACCATTGAACATCTTGTACATGAAAATCATATCCCCCCTTAATCTCCTTACTTCTAGCGTGAACATGTTTAAGTTCAACGAGGAGAAAAAAAAGAGTTCAGCGCCTCGGCCTTCTCCTTGTCTTTTATGAGTAACTTCCCGTTTTCGTCCTTTATTGGGCCTATCTGCTCCTTTCTTACCTTTTTACTGTTAATATATTGGTAGAATTTTTGGTTTACTAACTGTAGCGATATGCTTTTCGCATTCTATTTTAGCTTCCCGGATTACTAGTTTGCATTTTTTGTTACATTCCTTGTAGTTAAGGAACGCCAATGCTGTCCCTTTCATCTTATATTTTATAAATGCCATTCCCTTTTCCTTAACATGTAGTTTTACAGTTTTATTTAGCCATATAGGTTTAATCTTTAATCTTTTGTTTTTGTTACCCATTGGTATACACTTTGAAATAGCAATATGTAATGTGTTCCTGAAACAGTCCCACATTTGGTCTGATTTTAGGTTGTGAAATGAGTTTTCCCATTTTATTTCCCCCACTAGTTTCTGCAGCTTATCGAAGTTGGCCCTTCTGAAATTTAGGGTTCTTGTCCGTCCCTCACTCTTATCTTTCCTGTATTCAATATTGAAAGTAATCACATTGTGATCACTATTACCCAGTGTCTCCCCAATTGCAATATCCTCAATTAACTCCCCATTATTAGTAATTATTAAATGTAGGATGGCATTTTTCCTAGTTGGAACCTCCACCATCTGTTCCAAGAAATTGTCTCGCAACAAGTTCAGCCTTTGTCGATCCTGAGGTACCATTAGCCCAATTGATGTCTGGGTAATTGAAGTCGCCCATCACGACTACATTGCCCTCCCTCCCAGCTATTTCTATTTGGGAGTGTAGATTTGCTTCCCCCTCCTCCCCTATATTCAGAGGTTTATAGCAAATACCCACAATAAGTTTACAGCTAGTGTCCGCCATATCGAGCTCCAGCCATAAGGTCTCCACATCTTCTCCACTGTTTGACGTGATATCATCTCTTATATGCATATTTAGATTATTTTTAATGTAAATGCAACCCCCCCCCCCTCCCCTTCTCCCACATCTGTCCCTCCTGGACAGGTTATACCCCTCTATATTAGTAGCCCAATCATGTGTGCCGTCTAGCCAGGTTTCCGATATACCCACTATATCGAAGTCCTCTTCGAGTATCATAATTTCAAGCTCTTCTAATTTATTTGCTAGACTTCTAGCGTTGGTGTACATACATTTAATTCCTGCCTTATGGGACAAAAGTTTACATCCTTCTTGTTCCCCACTAGTTTTATTGTTTGGCCTTGACATTGGTTGTCCGTTTCTAATTTTATTCACTTCTGACAACGTATTTGCTACATTGACTGTTTCTACTATTTTAACCTCGGTGATTATTTTAACTGTGTTGACTGGAGTGAGCCCACTATCTACTCCTCTGTTACTTCTGTCTGTATTTTTTTTTTTTTTATCTACGATTAATTTATCTTCATTTGATTTAAGTAATTTTATTTTTATGCCCACCCCCCCATTCTCTAGTTCAAACCCTCCTCCAGTCTTTCTACCATTTTCCCCCCCAGAAATGCTGCACCTCCCCCATTAAGGTGCAGCCCGTCTAGGCTGTAGAGCCGGTAGCCAACTGCGAAGTCAGCCCAGTTCTCCAGGAAACCAAATCCCTCCTTCTGACACCTGCTCCGGAGCCACTTGTTAAGCTCCCTCATCTCGCGCTGTCTGTCCGTAATGGCTCGTGGCACCGGCAGTATCTCTGAGAAAACTACTGTGGAGGTTCTTTCCTTCATCCTAGCACCTAATTCTCTGAACTCCCTTTTTAGGACACTCCAATTTCCTCATTTTGTCATTGGTGCTGATGTGCACCATGACAACTGGGTCGTGCCCAACCCCATCTAGTAATCTGTCAATTCGCTCCGCAACGTGTCGAACACGGGCCCCCGGTAGGCAGCACACTGTTCGGCGCTCACGGTTCCGATGACAGATTACCCTGTCAGTCCTCCTGATGATAGAATCCCTCCGGCCTCCGCTCTTGCACGCCACGCGCGCTCAGACACACAATTCACTTCCGGGTCAGCCTCTCGGAAAGCGGACGTCTGGTTTCCACTAATCACTCTGGGTTTTTTTCCACATGGCTTTAATAAACATTCTCCCCTGATTATTTACATACATTGCTTAGATTTTGGAAATCTTCATTGCGGAGTGCTGCCTGCTGCCATTTGTATTGAGACTCGCACATGGATTCCACTCATTTCCTTAGTCCTGCCATAGACTTATGATCATTTCCAGTCAGGGTTGAAAGTCTGTGGTTGGGAAAAACTGTCCATAAAAAAAAAAGAAATACCGATATGGCACAGCAAGATCTTTTTAAAATAATTTACCCCCCAGCCAGCTAGAGTTCTGAGTGTCCAGAGCCAGCAAGGGATGGAAATTAACTTTGTGATCAACCTGAGCTGCTTCAGTTATATTGCATCTGCACTGTAACCCCAGCACCGTTCCCTGCTGTCATGTTTGAATGCAGCCATTGTTCCAATAGGAAGAAGAGAGGAACTGCCACCCAGCGCTGCTTCGCAGCTTCTTAGGACTTGGGAGAACTCGCACCTGCACAGCAAGAGCTAAGCAGTGACCTATGATTCATATTTTTCTCCTATTCTTGTTGCATTTAGAGGGGTAGGTGGCAGGAGGCATGGTATGACATTGCACAGGGCTGATCCATCACTCTGGCTGACTATCCTAACTGTGACACTCAGATTTTCTCTGCAAAGCACCTAACTCTAGGTCTGCAAACGTCACATAAAGATGCTGACAGTCAGCCTACACGTGACCTGTTTCCTTTTGGCATTTAGGATACAGTGGCTGGCAGGAGACAAGTCATTGCAGAACTCTTCATGGCCTGGGTTTCTTTTATTTGCATTATTGTGAACCTTTAAAGTGGACCTTTACACTCAAAAATCAAATTCTACCAATGCATCCCTCTGTTTGATGATTAATAATAACATAGACATGTCAGGTGTAAAATGCTGTGAGTTCAAAATACTTACAATTGCAGAACATTCACTTCCTGCTTTGAAAGTACAAATGACTTCAGTTTGCCAACGCAATGCACACAGGGATTGATTTGTCATCAGCAGAGCATTGCTGGGAATTCTCATCTGTAATCTCAGGAGATATCAGCGAAAGGCATTAGTGATGTCCCGATGCCACTTTTTCAGGCCCAAGTACTTCCCCCTCATGTACTTGCCGATACCAATTACCGATACTTTTTCTTAAAGGGAAAGGTGACTTTAAATGATCCATAGTACAACTACATGTTATGTACTATGGATCATGATTTAACCTATTCATGTTAGCAGGGGAGAATTGTAAATCTATTGTTGGAGTGTAGTGGAGGTGTGTGCTGTATATATGTACTACATATACAGTACACTATAGCAATAGACTTACAGCCAGCCCCGTCCCAACTTCCCTCACTCACAGTTTCACTCTGA